CATTAATAAAATTTTTACTAGGGCTTAAATAATCAAGTTATTTCCTGTTTTTCATACATTAATGTGAAAACTTCCTTTGTCCCTCTAGTGACAATTGTGTTAATGTAATATGCTGACTGGAAATTCTTCAGCTTTTGACAAAACTTATTCACTAACTTCCTAGATTTGACCTCTGGGATGTCTAGGAGCTCATTAAGCTGTGGGGAAAAAAAAAGTCTCAGAAGTCAGAATGGAAAGGCATTTACTTTTTCTTTTTTTTTCTTTTTTTAAGGCATTTACTTTGAAAGACTGTAGCTTTGTTAGAATCATACAGTCTGTCAGCAGTCTTCATTTACCAGTATTTTCATTTTTATGTCAGGTCTAGGAAGTATGTGATTCTGATAGAATTTGCTGACTTTAAAATATCATTTTTCCCCTGAACACAATCAGAGAGTCTACTACTACGTGTGAGAGTTGCTATAATGATCCTTTATTAATTTAGTTTTGGCTTTATTAATTTAGTTTTATATTTTAGCATAAAATATAAAATATTATATTTTATGCTAAGGTCAAATAGGTTCCTTAATGGTTACCCCATTTAAACCTGCAGTAGATTCCAAAAGTTATTTTCTTTTTTTTTGAGTTGGAGTCTCACTCTGTCGCCCAGACTGGAGTGCAGTGGCTGTTCCCGGCCACCACAGCCTCGACCTGCCGGGCTCCAGCGATTCTTCCGCCTCAGCCTTCCGAGTAGCCGGAACTACAGGCTCACACCCAACACCCGGCTAATTTTTTGATTTATTGTAGAGATGCGGTCTCACCAAATTGCCCAGGAGGGTCTCGAACCCTCAGGCTCATGCAATCTACTCACCTCAGCCTCCCAAAGGCGTGGGATTACAGGCTGAGCCACCGAGCCCGGCTCAAAAGTTATTTTCAAAAGATTATCTATAAAATGCAAGGATGACTTACTTAGAGACATGCACTGGGAAATTTCAAAAAGTAGAGGCAAAATTAAAATTAAGGGTTATGTTTGTCTTTCTGGAAGGTACTACAGAAAGTCTCTGACTTCTGATTTTTCAATTTTACAGTGGTGTGATAGGGATTAGCACTTAGTAGAAACCATATGGGTACCCATACAACCATTCTGTTTTTCACTTTCAGAACAGTATTCAATAAATTACATGAGAGAGCCAGGCTCAGTGGCTCAGCCTGTAATCCTGCGCCTTGGGAGGCTGAGGTGAGTGGATTGCCTGAGTCCGCGGGTTCGAGACCCGCCTGGGCAACTTGGCGAGACCTCATCTCTACAATAAATCAAAAAATTAGCCGGGTGTGGTAGCGCATGCCTGTAATTCCGGCTATTTGGAAGGCTGAGGCGGAAGGATCGCCGGAGCCCAGCAGGTCGAGGCTGCGGTGGCCGGGAGCGGCCACTGCATTCCAGTCTGGGTGACAGAGTGAGACTCCAACTCAAAAAAAAAAAAAAAAAATTACATGAGAGATATCCAACACTATATTACAAAATAGGCTTTGTGTTAGATAATTTTGCCCAACTGTAGACTAATGTAAGTGTTCTGAGCATATTTAAGGTATGCAAGGCTAAGCTATGATATTTGGTAGGCTAGGTGTTTCAAATGAATTTTCAACTTAAGATATTTTCAACTTACAATGGGTTTATCAGGTCATAACTCCATCCTAAGTTGAGGAGCACCTGTGTATTTCTAATTAGTTACTTGGTGGGGCTTTCTAAAATGATATTGAGTGCTAAACTGTGCTCTGGTAGAGTTGGAAAGAATAATAAGCTGGAGTCACAGAAATTTATTTGTGTTGGCTTAGTTCCAGGAGGATGAGAATGTTGAAAGTAGGTGCTTTCTGGAAGAAATAATACCTTTGTTGAACTAGGTGATTACCAAAGGGAACTAAGAAAAATGAGAACAAATAAACAATTCTAACTTCCAACAACTCTTAACTAATTCAATACAAGGAACTGGTCTGGTGCACTTTCTACCAATTGTTTGTGTAGATGTATAGACCCAGCATATAAACTCAGAAAGGAGGCTTTGCTCAAGGCATATCACACTATGAAATTTGAATGAATTTTCTGGAACAGAAAAATGACGGTTTAGGGATTATGTATGTGGACTATGGGACCAGAGAGACCTCACTTCTAAGCACTGCTCTGCCATTTATTAGCTGTGTGACTTTGGGCAAATTACCTTAACTTTTTTATCTCTGCCTTGGATCACTTGTTCATAAATGGGGGGGTGACAGGACCTGTCTTATATGTTGATGCAATAATCCAAATAAGATAATGTATGCAGGCTAGATGTGGTGACTTACGTATTGGAGGTTGAGGGGAGAGGATTACTTGAGCCCAGGGGTTCAAGACCAGCCTGGGCAACTTGTCAAGACCTCATCTCTACAATAAATAAAAAAAATTAGCCAGGTGTGGTGGCATATGCCTGTAGTCCCAGCTACTTGGAAGGCAGAGGTGGAAGGATCGCCTAAGCCCAGCAGGTCAAGACTGCAGAGGCCATGAGTGTGCCACTGCACTCCAGTTTGGACAACAGAAGGAGACTCCAACTAAAAAAAATCTATATCATCTATATCTATATTTAGATATGCAAAGTTATAATTTTTATGTGTATATAAATTAATGATATATTCTTAGCATAAGTAGTAAAATAAGAAAAAAGCATTTTAGAAGAAAAAGTTGCTAAAGATTTTTAAAGTTAGTTGCTAATTGGTGAATAGTTAATATGTGATTTGATCAGTAAAATATTGACCAATATAAGCAATGTTACCTGGTGACAAAAGGACACTGTTTTATTTACAGAGGTGGAAGTGAGCAGTGAATTTGTGTACTGCTAACAAAAAATTCCTAAATCAAACTGAATGGAAGGCCCAACATCAGAAGGTTCTGTGTGTGTGTATAAGATAAATAAATGCAGGTATGAGGGAATGGTGGCTTTTTCCACAGCTGTATACTTATTCTCTTAAATTGCTAGTTTCCACTTTAATAATAAACAACCCCAAGACCGGGCATGGGCCTAGCTTTTAGTTACTCACTTAGTGGAGGGGTATACCAGCATCCTTTAATGATCACTCAGGGCCTGAGCTTTGGTTGTGTGGTAATCTTTTGGAGAATTCACAAATATTCCCATTCTCCCTTTTCCAGACACAGGGAAGTCTTACATTTCTGTGCTTCCTTTGGAGTTAGGCATGTCCACATGATTTGATTTGACAAATGAAATATGAGAGGAATTGATGAGACATCTTTTATTTCTTCTACTTTGATCACCCAGGAAGCACATGTTGAAATAGAATCTACATCTGCTAACTTCACCATCTGGTATGGGATACGCATTATGAATAAGAAACAAAGTGTGTCCACCAATGAGATTTTGGAGTTATTATTATTATTATTACTATATGAGTCAGAGTCTTACTCTGTGGCCCAGGCTGGAGTGCAGTGGCATGCTCACAGCCACCACAGCCTTGACCTGCTGGGCTCAGGTGATCCTTCCACCTCAGCCTTCCAAGTAACTGGAATTACAGGTGCACACCACCATACCTGGCTAATTTTTTGATTTATTGTGGAGACGAGGTCTCACCGAGTTGCCCAAGTTGGTCTCGAACCCCTGGACTCAGGCTTTCCTCTTGCCTCAGCCTCCCAAAGTGATGGGATTACAGGCTTGAGCCACCGTGCCCAGCCTTGGGGTTGTTTATTATTAAAGTGCAGACTAGTCTATCCTGACTAATCTAGGCAGTGTAGGACCAGGTACCTACTTGTGGATGGACATGGATTCAGAAGTAGTCTGGTGACACAATTGAACAGGTGAACAGTCTGCTGCTTACAAGAATGATTCTTTAAAGACAAAAACAGCCCCCAAGCAAAATGAAACACTCAAGAAAATGAGAGCACTTCTATTTGTAACAGGCTTGCCCTCTGTATAGCTACTGCTCCAGCTTGGGAGATTGATCCACAGGCTTTCTATTTTACAATCTGATTCCGATGATCAGTATTGAAATGGGATTGTGGGTTAACGACTGCTTTTACTTCCAACATCTCCCTCTCTTGCCAACTCTCTCTCTCTCTGCCTCTTTACTTCCTTCCTCCCTTCCTTTCTGAAAAAAATTGACTGTCTACTCTATGCCAGGCACTGTACAAATTTCTAGAAGTGCAAGGCCAAAGAATTGTGATTTAGCTCCAAAGGAGCTTCTATCTAGTTAGTGGTAGAGTCTGACCTCTCTAAACAAAGTAGTAATAAAAAGTGGCGAATGTTATCCAGACACTTGAGATACTAACAAAAATATGCAGGCTCAGAAATAACACGAGTTAAGTGTCATCCTCTGTGGCTAAGGCTTGACTTTATACAGACTTCTAGCCCAATTCAACTCAAACAACACATAAACATCTTAGTAAGGAGATATGCAATTGGTAGTAGTCTTTCAGAATTTTGCTAAGTCTTTACTTTGGGAAGGTCTTGAGTAGGCAGAGACCATTATTTGGAAACAGAAAAAAGAATAATTAAATACATGGAGTATTTGAGGATTGTGTGGGAAATGCCTATTCAATTCTGTTAGGTCAGGATGTTGACCTTTCCAACTCACATGCCCTCCTCACTGTTGAAATTATCAACCATATCTGAAAATGACGATAGGTGGAAATAATCAAATAACAAAGAAGAGAGTTAAACACTGTCAAGTGACTTGGGCTGTATCCAGGAACTGACAATTGTAGAACATATTTTGCAAAAGATTGTACATTTAAAAGCCACAAACTGTGACTGGTTATAGAAATTTATTACTTTAATTTTAATTCAGTTTCATCAGTCCAAGATAAAATTACAATAAATATGAAGAACATGTCTGGGATGTGCTTTTTTTGGTTTTGTTTGTTATCCAGCAAAGCATACTTTTCTTTCAAAACAAAAAATCATTCAAAACATAAATTCTAACAAAAGCAACAACAACAGCAAAACAGTAAACATGCCACAAGGCAAACAAAACATAGCGAAGTTTTCCTGCTGATAATAGAGTCTGTCTTTTACTTTTGGCATGTAGAAGTTACAGAAACTTACAGAATTATGATATATGCACACTCAAAGATTCTAAGTGCTTATTTAGGAAGTATTTTTATTTGAAGTAAAGAATTTTGAGTTATAAAACTGTGAATGGCTTATAGAATGCAGCTTACTAAATTAGTCTTTGTTCTTACAAACTAGATTAATTGCATCCTTTGAGAGCTGAAAATATATATAATCTATATTTCTTCAGTGAGTGGTCCACATTAATTTTCTTCACTGGTGGGGTATGTGGAGTGCCTGCTCTCTTCAGCTGGCGTGCTGTGTCCCCGCTGACTTGGAATAGCAGGAAGCACACGGTTTGTCCACAGAGGTTCTCCAGACAGAACTGGGGAGAAAGAATAGATGAGAGACTTTCAGTATTTGCTGCTCTCAGAGTCTTATGAGGAAGGTAGCAGGAGAACAGTGCTGTTTCTTTAGGAGTAGAAGCGTTTCTAAGAAGCTTGTCTCGGTGAGAGCTACACTGCAGAGGGAAGCTGTGTATACATATCTGTTCTGGCTTGTCACATGGCGTCTGGGATTTCAAGTGTGCACAAATACAAGACTGCATCAAGTTTAATCGAACATGATTGGGCCGTGCTTGCCTGGCGGAGTTCTTTTTGGGGTGGAGTAGTTGTTGACGCCTACCAACTATTCACACATCTCTAAACAAGGCCCAAGACATCTGTACTGTTCTTTTATAAAAACCTCAAAAGGCTCTCAGGTTTCTTTTAGGAAAAGCACCAAATGCCCTTCCATTTGTTTTTCATAGAACTAAGTTGATTAAAGATCTTTATCTTTTCTTTTCTTCTGAAACCTAATTGTGAAAAGCAAAACTCCTGGGCTCTGCCAAAGAAAACCTCCTCTCTGGCTTCTCCAAGTCCCACCAGGATTCAAGACTGAATGACTATTTCCTTAACTATATGTCTCTGTGGCTACAGTGTTGCTTAAAGACAAGTCAGGCTTGACTTTCTTTCAATGGTAGAATTGACACCATCCAAAACTCTCATTCTACACAAATCTGCAAAGGCTAGAGGAACTGATCTGTCAAGGAAGATGTCTTGGTTTCTGCCGTTAACTCTTCAAGTTAGTGGCCAAGGGCATATCACTTTGCCTCTTAGTTTTCTTATCTGCAAAAAGTTGGGGTTGTACTAAGGTGCTATGGCTCCTTGTTTTTACCTAGAGAGTCCTAGAACTCTTGGTTTGTACGCTTCAAACCCTCACCTGAGGGAAAAGAGACATATTGAATATTTACTCTATGTAAACAGAGTACCAAGTGTTTTATGTATGTTATCTCATTTGGCTTTTCCATCTATCTTATCAAGTTGGCACTATTGTTATAGGCAAAGTGAGGAAGCTGAAGTACAGAGAGGTTAAGAAACCTGTCTGAAATAGTTAGGGGAGTTCTTAAATTATCTAACCTCTAAGTGGATGTGTGTGTGTGTGTGTGTGTGTGTGTGTGTGTGTGTGTGAGATAAATGGGGTGGGGTGAAATAGGAAGAAATAAAGGAAATAAATGAGAACCCAGTAAGTAAATATCGCTTGTTTCATGAGGTAGTAGGCTCAGTGTAGTTTTGCTCCTGGCTATACAATGGTAATAATAATAAAACCTACCTCAGAGTACAGATATGAGGATGTACACACTCAGAACCTCTGAGCAGGGGGCCCAACAATCTACTTTGTAACAGGCACCCCAGGTAATACTTAGGCATACTCTGAAGATCACTGGCCCAGTAGACTATATCAATATTTTATATTAGGAGAGATTTTTTTGGTATAAAATATTATAAAATAACTCAATAATGCCAAAAGTAATTCTGTTGAATAATATTTCTTTTCTTTTTAGGAATGCATGGATTGTGAGTATAGAGACATTTCTATCTGCCCAACATAGGAAGGAAACCAACATCAAGAGGACAGCCTTAAGAGAAGAATTTTTTTTTTTTTTTAGTTTTAAGAGAAGGATTTTAAAAGCACCTACATAAAGACATTAAATAAATCATATATATCAAAATAAACTTGTTATTGTTTTTATAGTGCAAACACAAAAATTCCTGAAGGGAGGGACTATTCTTTTTTTTTTAAATAAGCATTTAAAAAAAGCTTTAAAGACTCTGTTTTCCTGCAATTTATAAGTGTTGGCACTTGATGGTCCCTTGAAAAATGAAAGTAAACAGAAATAACATTTAGTTGTGTCTAGACCTGTTAACACTTGCAAAGGAAGCTAAGGAAGATACATAATACTTACATTTTTGATCTGGTAGAGGAGCTAGGTTGTTCCGAGTGAAAGGAAGATCCCTGATTTGGGGTCTGTTTGGGGAGAAATGTGGAAAATTTTGTCCTGGGAACAAACATATTTGGATCAATCACTTGAGACTCAATCAAGTGCAAATTACAAAATGCAATGGATAAGAGAATCATAAAAGTTATTAGAGATCACTAAATTTAAGGTGGTAACAATAACGATAAAAACAATCATGATAGCTACACTTTAGGGCATTTCTATTATATACCGGTCACTGTTTAAATAAAAGAAAAAGATACTGGAAAGCATTTTTTGAATGAATTAGTTTAAATGAAATTTATGAACAAGCACAATTGGGTTACTCACCTCGTAAAATTTAAAGTTGAAAAAAATTAATATAGTTATGGCATAACTGAGCATATATTCATCACATCTTTAATGAATGAGTGAGTGATGAGTAGCATATATTCTTCTAGAGCAGAGTTTCTCCATCCTGGCTGCACATAGCAATTATCTGAAGAATTAGAAGGAAAAAAAAAAAAAAAAATACTGCTGCCCTGGCCACACCCTAGCACAATTAAATCAAAATCTCTGGAGGTGGGGCATGATGTCAGATGTTTATCAGCTCCTAGGTGACTCCAGTGTGCCGTGAAGACCCAGAATCCCTGACCTGGAAGATGGAGCCAGGTGGAAGCACTTGAAAAATCTGTTCTTTAATTTGGATGGTAAGCTGTAGTGTATTAGTGCTGAATGGGTTGTGTGAACCCACTCTTGAGAGCTGATGGTTACATTTTCAGGAATTTTGTGAGCTGTTTGACATCACACTAATGCCTTGAAATCAGCCATGATGAAGTATTTATCTGGTAGAGGATAAATGGAAATCAGCAAGCACTGATTTTTCTCCCAGAGAGCCAGTTAAATGTACATCAACATACTACTGATTACAAGACATGGATGTTCCAGATATCTGAAAATAGAAGGGAATATACAAAAGTTACTGAAGTCCATTTTAAAAAGTTGACTGAACAATGTAATGAATAGAAGCTGGAGCTCTGGGGTCAGACAGGATTACGCTTGATTCTTTTCTTCCCCATTTTTTAGCTGTGTGACCTTGGGCAAGTGACATAATCTCTCTACATCCCAATTTCCTCATATATATAAAAGGGTGAAAATAATTGTATCTGTCTGTTCCAGTTGTCATGGAGATTAAGTCAGAGGAAGAGAGTAAAAGCATTAAGCTTACAGTGTAAAGTACCCAATAAACATTATCAAAAAAAGATAATTTGATTTCTTGCCTAGTAGGCTAATAAGAAACCAGAATTGCTACAGCAATGCTCGTAGAGTTTACGACTCTTCTGTTTGGGGGAAAAAAGTCCTTAGCATAAGAAAATAAGAAAAAGGGAAAAAAGTATTAGCCAGGATCCACCTTCCATCTGCTTACATGAATCTCATGGTGGATTGTCTGTGTAGGGACAGCCACCTAAGCAGGGTCACTTGATGGAAACTGAGCAAAATGACATCTTTCTGGGGGATATTTTGCCATTATATTTTATTTCTTTGAAGGCCAAAAAATTTCAGGAGCCATTATTTATAAAGAAAAGGTTTCTGGGTAGAATTACATGAAAATCCATATTAGCTTACACCTTAATTATCCATGGACACTTGAGCAGAAATTTGTAAAACCAAGAAATAATTATGCATTATGTTTATTGGGCACTTACTTTTCTTGGGAACTGGTCTAAATGCCAAAGGCATAATCTTATTTAATCCTGACAGTGACTTTTTCTTGCGAGATGGATTCTATTATCATTCCCATTTTACACATAAGGACTCTGTGACTTGGAGGAATTCTAAAAGTGCTTGAGGTCACAAGCTGGGAAGTGATAGAGCCTAGACTCCAGCCCAGATTTGTCTCACCCTAGAGCTAACACTGTTCTGCCTCCTCTAAGCGATACAGCTAGGATGAGAGAAGAAGCCAGAGAAGGGCTGCAGCAGTGACTCCGAGATGAAGGAGAGTTAAGCTTTATTCTGTGCTGGCATTTGGCTCGGTTTTCAGGGACAGGGTGGAGCCATGCATAGCCCAAAGCTGTTTTTATGCTGCATCCTGCTTGTGGGGACAGGGCCAAGGATCACTGTCCTAGAATAAAAGCGCAGGAGAAGGTTTTCACAGTTACATGAAGGAAACAGAGGCAACTGCAGGATTAATAATAATACCAATAAAAAAAAATCTTGCTATCTTCTATTGAGCACCCACTGTATTCCAGATCCTAGGACACACAGAAAAGGAGAATGCAAGTTGCTCAGGAAGGTATTACAGTTTAAGTGGGAGAAGACGAGTAAACTTGTTATTTTGAAGCCCCATGAGTAATGCTGTTATAGAGTTTATGAGGGCATTGCAGAGGAAGGAAGGGTTCAGAGAGGTCAAGTGTTCTTGGGTCTCAAAGACCTTACATAAATATTCATTCTGCCATTTACTAGCTAGCTCTGTGATCTTAGGCAGGTGAGCTAACTACTCTGTCTCAATTTCTTTATCTATAAAATGAGGATTAAAAACTTCTCTCCTGCAATGTTGTGGAAAGTGTGGAGGTCATTGCTTGCCCCAAGCAAAGTGGAACTGTCCTTATGTAAGAAAGAGCCATACCTCCTACGGGGATCAGGGTGACCTTCGCAGAGAAGGCGAACTTTGAACTGGTTCTTATCACATGGGCAAAGATGTCATAGAGTGAGAAGGCATGGGGTTGTCAGGGAACTGAGAGATATTCAAGGAAGTGCTGAAGAGGACAGAGGACAAGGGTGGGGATTTGACATGGCAGGTGCAGAAGCTGAGAATGGGAAGCTGAGGCCAGAACATCCTGTGAGGGCCTTGTTTGCCCAGTTAAAACTCTGGCCTTTGTCCTAAAAAGATGCAAAGCCTGTGATGGGTGCAAGCAGAAGGCAGACCCACCTAGTCAGAAGTGTGCATTGTTGCTGGGAGAGTCTAGAAAATTCTAGAGAAGGAAGTTCTCCCTTGGGGGAGAAAGGAATTGAGTACTTTCTTACTTTTCTTGTGATGGCTTGTAAATAACCAGGCTAGTAGAAAACACCACAGCGCTTTCTGTTCCATTTTCTCTGAGAGCAGCTTGCAATGAATTAAGCTGATGTGCTCCAAATTCCAACTCATTAGGATAAGTGCCTCATCCTCATCTTTGCATCCAGCCCACTGACAGGTCTCAATAAATGTTAAGCAATAATCATTACAGCGAAATGTCCAGGGTTGCTGATGTAAGCACAGGATAGCAGCTGCCCGGAATTCAAGCACAGCTAGCCCATGTTTTTTCTACTGAACCCAGGGAAGAAAAAGGAGAAAATCCAAAGATAAAGGGACTATTCAAGTTCAAGACTGTGGTACAGTGGCATGATTTACAGTATCCAACTGCTTTACCACATTAAGCGTTCACATAAAATATGGGAGCTCAATGTACAAATCTGCTAAGTCTCAACCCGCCTAGACTAACAACTGAAACCACTTAAGTAAACCTTCAGTAGTAAACTACTGAGGCTTCTGAAAACAACATATCAGATTGGGTTAAAAATGTTCACAAAAATAAAATCCATAAGGTAGGGAAATCTTTTTATGCTGGGGTGGACAATGTAATTTACAAACAAATCACCTTGTAGAGAATTGGTAAGCATGCCAACAATCTGGACTTTAAGATTTAAAGAGACCAACACATCACCATGGTAATAACTTCCTATTTAGATCTGGGTTCAAGTTCTGAGTACATCACTGCCTGGCAGTAAGACTTGGAGCAAATCTTTTAGTTTTCCTAGGCCATGTAAATTGTAACCGGAGACAGCCACACGAGGCAAAATGGTCCCAGCCCCTTTATCTAGAGGGGATGGAAACTGTGGCCCAGAAAGATGATATTTCTGACTTTATCAATCAGGGTTCATTCAGGAAAACAGAGGCATCCTATATTTTTCCAACAAGGGAATTTAATACAGAAAATTGGCTACATTGGTGCTGGGAGAACTGAGAAGCCAAACAGAGTGCAGGGCGGAAGGATAATCCAGAAATTAGCTATAGCAGAAAGATGCAGTCACCACTAGGCTAAGGGGATGAGGGGATATGGTATTACCACGGCCAAGGAGCTGGGGGAGCTAGCGCCACAGAGTGAGGGACTGTGGCAGAGAGGGGTGACGGGAGGAAACGAAGCCTACTGGAGATTACACAGGAGACAGGGACACTGTAAACTACTGGTTTCCCACTTTCTCCTGTTCTTTACCTTCTGCCAGTATTTTCTTAGGCCAAAACTACCCAGAAGCCAGCTGGCAAGGGAACCTGGGAAGTGTAGTTCTCCGACACAGAGAGGAGCAAGAGAGAAAAGTGTTGACTGGCATACTGACTTAAAAGCTCATCACATTTTTGTAACTTTTTTTTTAGTCCAAGTCTCACTCTGCCACCCAGACTGGAGGGCAGTAACTCACCACGGCCTTGACCTTCTAGGCTCAGGCGATCCTTCCACCTCAGCCTCCTGAATCACAGGGACTATAGGTATGTGCTACTATGCCTGGCTAATTTTTTTATTTAAAAAAATTTTTTTTTTTTTGTAGAGGTGAGGTCTTGCTATGTTGCCTAGGCTTGCTATGTTGCTCAAGCAATCCTCTCGTCTTGGCCTCCCAAAGTGCTGGGGATTATAGACGTGAGCCACAGGGCCCGAACAAGTTCATCATCTTTAAAATACATATCATCTCTAGCTTGTCTCTACAATGTAAGGCTTAGCATTGGGGCTGGCACACAGTTAAAAAAAAAAATGTGTGTATGTATAAAAGTAAATGTACAAGTCACTGTTCTAAGCAGTCTAACACATATCAGCTCATTTAATCTCAAGAGCTACTTTACACCCTACTAGTTAGGTGTTTTCTCTTATTTTTCAAATGAGGGAACAACAAAAGCTCAGAGAGTTTAAATAACAGCAAACAAGTGGCAGAGTCAGAATTTGAATCCAGGCAGTAATAGCTTTTGAATCCTTCTCTAAAGCACTGCAGTATACTGCCTCTTGATAAATTTGTGTGATTAAAAACTCAGCAATCACTTAATGTATGATCAAATGACAGATTTTTTCCATTTTAAAAATCCTTTGACTTTGTTTCTAAACATGAGAAGAAAGTCAATTTAAAGTCAATTGGACAGTCATTTTAGCAAATCTATAGCTCTTAAAGTTCATTTATAGGCTGAAGACTCTTGAGAGATTTATTTTTTTATGATTCAGTTGCCTAGAATGGCTCCTAGTTATAATCAGCACTCTATTGGAGAATTTCACTCCTCCTTTTCTACTATTCTGCTGGTCCAGGACTTTTCCAGTTTCTTGACTGGTTACTGAGCAAATCCCCAAACCACATTTATTGAATTTTCTTTTATTTCAAATAATATATAAATGTTTGGATGGCATAAGTGGCAGAATCTACTCGTTCTCTATTCAACATCTACTGTCTTCTCTCTCAGAAACAGAAATCCAATTTGGTGGAGACAGCAATGTGCCCTGCTAAAAGACTGTTATTCCCCATCTCCCTTGTGGATAGGTGTGATCACATGACTAAAGTTTTAGCCAATGAGACATAAGCAGAAGTGTGGGACTTAAGCCAGATGACTATTTATTTATTTATAGAGACCGGGTCTCGCTATGTTGCCCAGACGGGTCTTGAATTCAGGTGATCCTCATGCCTTGGCCTCCCAAAGTTCTAGAATTACAAGTGTGAAGACCTGGCCAAGATGACTCTTAATGGAAGCTGATTCAGGAGGGGGCTATCCCTTTACTCCCTCCTTTTACTTCCTTCCTCTCTCTCCGTCAGCCATTGACTATGAAATGACTCGGAGGATAAAAACCACATGTCAGGTTGTGGGGCACACAGATAGAAGGATTCTGGGTCTCTGGTGATCACGGAGCCACCAACTCTCTGGGAACTACCTACTTAATCTACTTCATATGAGAGCAATAAACTTCTATGTTGTTCAAGTCCCTGTGACTTTGGGTTTGTTTTACAGGAAGCTGAACCCAATCCTAACTGATATAAAAGAGCTCAAGGCTGTCTTTGGAAAAGAAAAAGAACAAGACTTTCAGACTTTCACAGAATTTTCTAAAGAGAAGGTATTAGCTTGGCCAGGACCAGACTAACACTGGAAAACAGGGAATGTTGAGACCTTGGAGGCCACTAACGTAGCAGACCACTGTGTTCCCTTCCTTATCTTTCTGCAGAAAAATGCAAACATTACCCATGCCCCCAGCCAAATGATTCAGTGCTTTGAAGACAAAGCATAACTTGAGTAGAATTTTTCTCAGACACTAGGAAATATGCTTAAGTATATTTAACTTATGCCTAAATATGTATAAATATGTTTGAGGAAGCCATATTCTACCTCAAAAGCTTCAGGTACCAGGCACCTGAGTGAAAAGACCTAGACTCACACTGCATCTTAAATGATAAGAAATTTTGCTTATTCCAAAATAAATATGATCCTCCTTTACTTTTTAAAAAACATTGCCCTCTTGGTTTTCTTTTTTTCTACTTTTGTAGAAAAATGGGTTTTTAAAAAAATTATTTTTCTCTTAATCCTATTATAAGAAAAACAACTAAAGCATGTTGGTAAGGACTATCTGACACTCCATGGAGAAATGCTAAAATGGTGTGGACTGAACCGAACTGAGGACAGTGGTGTCCCAGGGGAAAGGGGCTACTCAGCTCCAGCCTATTATTGCCGTGTGGGAATTGGGTTCAATGTTTCCAGATTTTTCCACCTCTCAAAAGAAGTGAGAATTTTAGTTTTTTATGTAAAATTTTATAAGTTTAAAATATTGACAATTAATTCACTTAAAAACAAACTGAGGTACTGTGGTACTGAGCAGATTTTAGAATTTGTTTTGTAGCCTCCGCTTTAGAGCAATGGTTCCCAGCCTCTGGAATGCATCAGAATCACCCGTGGATTGTTTTTAAAAAAATATTTAGTGTGACACATGTATTTAAAAGAGAGGATACAGAGCTATTTCATGTGTATAAATGTAGATATATGCATGTATAAGGTATCTCTGGAAGGATAAACAAAAAATTAATCATATCAGCAGCTTTGGATGAGAGGCGTTGGGTAGCCAGAAAGAGGTAACAGGGAGAATTGTCAGGGAACCTGGTATGTTTTGAGACTTAAGCCATGAATGTGCGCATGTGGTACCTTTTTACATGTATACATACAAGGCATGGCCATTTTTCCTCCTCCCTCACCAAGATTTTGGTTCAGTAGGTCTGGGGTAGGAATTGAATGCCTGATTTAAAAACAGATAATCATACAAACAAATCAACTCTTTGTAGGAGGTTTTGCCACACACCCCTAGTTAACAATCCTTGCTAGTGAAAATAGCAAAATATTTCTGCTCCAACCTGGCAGACACCAGACATATTTGGTGGGAAGACGAGAAGGCACATATTTTTACTTGAGAATTGCTCTAGGGATGGAAGAGCAGACTGTTTCCATAGCCTGGGAGTCTCAAATCTATGTGCTCCAGGAAGAAAAGGTGGCTCCCCAGAACTGTATTAGACATTTCCTGTGTAAAGTCTGCCAGGAATAAAGAAAAAATCAAGGGCATTACCTGATGAAGGATTATGTAGCTGAGGAAGATGTGGAGGTGCCAACACCTCCTGGTGACCAGGCCGACCAATGAGAAATTTGTCCACTAACTTATCAGACGAAGACACAGTCCATGCTTTGTAAGACAACACCTGGTTGGAATCACTCCTCCAGGGGTTATCTAGCAACGTCTGGCAGCCAGTTCTGTTATTTAATAAATCCTGCTCACTATGACTTTTCTGGGATCGCTGGGCTGCATGGTGAGGGCCACAGCTCAGGCCTGTGGGGGAAGCAGCCCCATGGGAAGCTGTCAGGAAGTGATGGCCCAGGGTGATGGGTGGGAGACTCTGCGTTCTGATTGGTGGAAGCCCCTTCCAGGCCAGAGGTTTCTTTTCCATCAAGAGATATTTGGAATTTTCTGAGGTCTTCTTCTTAAAGTCAACCATAGCCACCTGATCACCAGGCTGTTCTTGGCAGTTGGTACCCACAGTGCTGTCAAAGGTGGTGATGATATCATTAACTTCCGAGGCGTCCTCCCCACTACATCGGTCCCTGCTGTGATCCTTCTGATGGGCTCTCTGCTCTTCGTTCTTGTTTTTGCAGAATATTTGGTTGAGCATGATGAACCGTCCCTCCTTCTTCTGGGGTCTACTGTTCTGGGAGGGAAGAGGTCGAGTAGGCTCTGTTCTGTGGAAATGTAAGAGAACAAGGATGCTATGTGAGAATAGGAAGTGGAGACAACATCACTCCCCAGAATACTGGTCCCCTCTTCCCTCTGCTTGATCAGGTTTTCTGAGTTCCTTCACAGACACTCCCACAGCCTTCTCAAATCAAAGGTGACGTGCAAGAACTCTACACCCTTCTGATCCCCTTCCAGAAGAGGTTCCTTATCATTTGTCCTTTACCCAGGGACAGCACTTCCTAGTTTCTTTTTGTTCCCTAAGGGGCTATCCTTTCAAAATTTATACATGAATCATCTCTTTTCACCAAGGGGTTAACTAAGCTGAAAACACTTAAAGTTATATTGTCACTTCTCAAGAACAGTCAGCAGGACTATAAGCTTTAAGTCAGAGGTGAAAGCCAAGGCTTTGAGTTCAGACTTCAATGAGCAGAAGGAGGGTGGAGGTAACACAGGTGGGAAGAGTGTGGTTTTATGCTTTCTTTGAATGAGATCCCAAGGAATCCGGACAGAGGGCTGACATTATCCACCTCAAAAACCTTGCCCATTTTATGCTGTTTGTGTTATTTGCTTCTCTTTTATTTTTTAAAAAAAATTTCCTGCTGAAAAATACTTTTCAAAAAAGTATACTAGAGGAAACCAAGGGAAGAAGCAGTGGTCTGTGCTCCTGTGGGTTAAGAGAAAGTGTGCATGCCAGAGGTCGGACGTGGCAGCAGAAGAAATGCGGGTGATACCCAAGGCATAGGCAAATTCTAAAGGAAAAAGGTCTGCAGTGGCTCCACTGCTGGCTCCACTTATGTTGACAGTTTCCCTGAGGCACTATTCTGTTTTTGTTCCTTGGAAAATTCTGTGTGATTTTCTTTTGAGGCCCCAATTGACTTCATGCTTTCTGTGGTATGAATTAAAGGTGAAACCTGACCCAAGTGTGTGTCCCTAAGAGTCAGATTGCAACATTGCTTTTAGGAGTGAGATATTGTAACCTATAATTTGAAAAAGTATCACGACTTATTTTGGATTCATATATTGAATGTTTTTTACAAGTCACACGATGGCTAACTGAATCTTTATTCCCATGATGTATTTTTATCTTCATTCTTTCATGTTTCAATAGGCTTTTTGAAATACTAAATACAGCTTCTGGACTCCTAATTCTATCAGAGAGAATCCTGGGGGAATCTCTGACATTCCTTCAAATTTCCCTATACAGAATATGCCCCTGTGCTAATAAATTTTACTTCAGCATCTTCTATATTTCATCTTCTGTTATAGGTTGTGCTTTAGGTCAGTGGATTTCAAAGTGTGGTTCACTGAACCCTGGGAGAGGGGTCCTCAAGACTCTTTCAAGGGTTTCATGAGGTTAAAACTATATTCATAGTGGCCGGATCCAGTGGCTCATGCCTATAATCCCAAAACTCTGGGAAGACTGCTTGAGCCCAGGAATTTGAGAATATCCTAGGCAACATAGCAAGACCTCATTGCTACAAAACAATAAAAAAATTAGCTGGATTTTGTCTGAAAAAAGAAAGTGAGATACATGGAAAACAAAGAGTAGAATGGTTGTTATCACAAGTGACGGTGAGGGGCAGGGAACAATGGGAAATGTAGGTCAAAGGGCACAGTGTAGCAGTTATGAAGGATGAGTAAGTCCAGAGATCTAAAGCAGAGGGCACAAGGACTGTAGTTAATAAGACTGTCTTGGGTACTGGAAATTTGCTAGGAGAGATTGAGGTGTTCTTACCACACACGGACAAAGGTAACTATGCCAAATGAGGGATGTGTTAATTGGCTTGAGTAGTAATCATTTCACTATGTATATTTATATAAAAACATCATGTTCTACACATATATATGATAAAATATATTAAAGATGAACAAAGTAAATATTTCATTGAATGTAAACAACTGACAGTTAATGCTGCCAATGACAAAGTCTAGCTTTCAAGCAAAATTTAGAATTCTGGAAAACTTATTCACACTGTAAGCTTGAAGCATCTGCACACATAAAGGCTTTTCAAACGAGATTGGTGGTGATAGTAACATATGTGACTTTTTGATATTGTATAATGAAATGTGTCATTTGGAAGACCTTTATGACTAAGTGAACCAATATTTTCCAAATGGCCAATGCAAGATGTTATAAAATCATGCATGTATAGAAGACTCATTTGAAGTGTAAGATATAGTAATAATAGATTGTAACATAACAGAGTACAAAAAAAATTCATTGGTATGGTGACAGAGTCCATATTCAACCAATCCTTAGGAAACTACTACTTGTCAAGTTTTGGTGTAGTATCAAAGAAAGATATGTGCAATTATCTGAAAAGGCTGATGAAATATACTCTCCTTTTTCAACTACATATCCATGTGAGGCCAGATTGTCTTCATATATTTTACTCAAAGCATCATATTACATCAGACTGAATGCAGAAGCAGATGTGGGAACACAGTTTGTATTCTGTTAAGCTTATATTAAGATATCAAAGAGACTTGCCAAAAGATGTAAAACAATATTGCTTTTCTCATTAAAATTCTTTTTGTTTTAGAAAATAGAAATGTTAATTAAAACGTTTTTTTTAGTTGGAGTCTTACTTTTTCACCCAGGCTGGAAGGCAGTGGTACACTCCCATAGCCTTGACCAGCTGGGCTCAGGTGATCCTGCTGCTTCAGCCTTCCAAGTAGCTGGAGCTATAGGAATGTGCCACCATGTCTGGCTAATTTTTTGATTTATTGTAGAGATGAAGTCTCATCAAGTTGCCCAGGCTGTTGTCGAACCTGTGGGCTCAGGTAATCTTCTCACCTTGGCCTCCTAAAGTGCTAGGATTATAGGTGTGAGCCACAGCACTCAGTCTATATTTTTATTTTTAATTAAAAATAAAATATTTATGTTAACACGTAAATGTAATGAGTTTATTAGCTTAAATGAATAACAATAAATATTTTATTAAACATTTTTATGTTTTAATTTCTAAGTGACATAAATATTGATAGGTATAACTCACATAAACAAAAGCTCTTTAGGGTCTTCAATACTTTGTGAGAGTGTAAAAGGGCCTTGAGAAAAAAAGTTTGGTAATCTCTGATTTAAGTAAAAGGAGGGTTCAGAAGACATGGCATAAAGGGAAGAGGAAAGAAGAGATTCAATTTCAGTGAATATTAGGCTGATAGATTCAGGCTTATGACTATCATTTTGCTCTATATACTCAAGCATAATTCACTGTATGTTAGATAATGGCAAATACCTTAATTATAGACTATTTTATTCTATGTAGAATAACAAAAAATTCTAGACTAATTATTGGATATCTTTAATACTATTTAACATTAATAATTTATACTTATAATAATATCAAGTTACTGCTGGTTTTGCAAACCGGCAATTTAAAAAACATCATCCAATTTTGGAAATCTTTGAGAAGCCAGGTATGGTGGCTCTCATGCCTATAATCCCAGCACTTTGGGAGGCCGAGGTGAGAGGATTGCCTGAGCTCACAGGTTGGAGACTAGCCCGGGCAACTTGGTGAGAACTTATCTCTACAATAAATCAAGAAAACAATTAGCTGGGTGTGATAGTGCATGCCTGTGGTTCCAGCTACTTGGAAGGCTGAGGCGGACGGATAGCCTGAGCCCAGCAGTTCGAGGCTGCGGTGGCCATGAGCGTGCCGCTGCACTCCAGGCTGGGCGACAGAGTAGACTCTGCCTCGGGGAAAAAAAGAAAAAAAGAAATCTTTGAGAAGAAGAAAAAAATAAGTGCCTCTTGGTGTACTCACCTGCTTTCTTGGGAGAGGAGTTTAACACACGCTGTGTGGCCGCAGTACAGGGCGTAGGCCAGGGGTGTGCTCTCATTGATGTCCCGCAGGTTGCTGTCCATGCCCAGTTCCAGTAGTGACTGGACACATTCTGCCTTCCCTGCAGCTGCAGCCCAGTGCAGAGGTGTCCTGGAGGAGCCACGTGGGAAAGCGCAAGTATCTGAGCACATGAATGGAACAGGCTGCTGATCCAGCAACAGCTCCCGCTCAAAGTCGGGTTGAGGTAGGAAAGTCTTGTTGCTATTTACAATATGGAAACAGTATTATTAAATGGGGCTGCAGGATGGTGGTATCTACGTGTAGGGGCCTCTCCTCTAGCTCACTTAGGGCTCATTCCCTGGCCTTCCACTCTCTGTGGCCTTTCTGAGAATTTCCTAGAAGAGGAAGTAGTGGGTCAAAGGGTATGAACAGTTTTCAGGCTCTTTACATGTAGTGCCAAACTGCCTTCCAGGAAGACTGAGTCAATTTATCCTCCCATCAGCTGTTTCCACTTCTTCCCTAATGTTGAGTATTATCATCATCTTTAAAAATCTTTACCAATTTGGAAGGCAAAATGATACTTGATTGTTGTTTTCTTTTGTATTTCTTTAATTAATAGTAAGGTTGAACTTTTGAAATATATATCTATTTGTCATTTGAGTTTTTTTATTAAAATGACTCCAGGTTAGGTGCTGTGGTGTATACCTGTAATCCCAGCACTTTGGGAGGCCGAGGTGGGAGGATTGCTTGAGGCCAGGAGTTCAATACCAGCCTGGGAAACATAGTAAGACCTCTCATCTCAATTAAAAAAAGAGGCCAGGCTTGGTGGCTCAGCCTGTAATCCTGCGCTTTGGGAGGCCGGGGTGAGTGGATTGCCTGAGCCCGCGGGTTCAAGACCCACCTGGGCAACTTGGCGAGACCTCATCTCTACAATAAATCAAAAAATTAGCCAGGAGTGGTAACGCATGCCTATAATTCCAGCTACTTGGAAGGCTGAGGCAGAGGGATTGCTGGAGCTCAGCAGGTCGAGGCTGCAGTGGCCGGGAGTGTGCCACTGCACTACAGTCTGGGGGACAGAGTGAGACTCCAACACACACACAAAAAAGAAAAGAAAATGAATGACTCAGTGCCCTTTGTTCATTTCTCTATTAGAGTGTTGGTGTTTCTCTTACTAATTTGTATGGGTTCTTTATATTCTAAAGATATTAATCTTTTATAGGTTGTATTAATGAAAACACTTTAATTTGTTACTTGACTTTTAATTTTTAAGTGATTTTTCTATGAAAGTTTAAACAATAATCACATTTAATAACTTCTTCAATTTTTCTTTATTTCTTAATTTTTTTTTTTCTTAGAGACAGGGCCTCACTGTGATGTCCAGGCTGGTCTCAAACTTCTGGTCCCAAGTAATCCTTCTTCCTTAGCCTCCCAAAGCCTGGGATTATTGGTATGAGCCACTGTGTCCAGCCCTCTTTCATGATGTTATTCTTAGAAAGTCCTTTATTAGCCAAAAGGTAGATAAATGTTCACCAATATTTAAGTCTTTACTAAATTGTGAAATCAGTGTTTTTTTTAAGAAAATGAAAAACCGAAGACTGCGAGAAAATATTTGCAAATCACATATCCAACAAAGTACTTGTAATTAGTATATAAAATCTTCCAGAACTGAACAATAAGAGAAAAAGCCAGTTTTAAAAATTAGCAAAAGATCAGAACAGATACTTCATCAAAGAAGATGTGTGGATGATAAATAAGCACATGAAGAGATGCTCAGTAACACTTGTCATTAGGAAAATGCAAATTCAAACTATAGATACCACTAAACACCCATTAAAATGGCTAAAATAAGAAAAAAAGACACCAAACAAAACAAAGCTTGACAATACTAGGTGCTGGTAAAGATACGAAGCAATTGGAACTTTCATACATTCCTGATGGGAATGTGGAATGGTAAAAGCCACTCTGGAAAAGTTTGGCAGTTCCTTCTAAAGGTAAACAGAAGTTTACCATATAACCCAGAAATCCCACTTTTAAATATTTAGCTGGAGAAATGAAAACTTACATTCACAGAAAAACTCGTATACAGATATTCATAGCAGTAGTATCGCAAATGCCAAAAACTGGAAACAATCCAATGCCCTTCGGTGGGTGAATGGATAAGCAAACTCTGGCTCATCCATACAGTTGGAGACAATTCCATATTAAAAAGGAACAGATACAAGCAACAACACATGAATCTCAAATGCATCTTGCTAAGAAAAATAAATAAACCTCACATGGTTACGTACTATATATTGCCATTTACATGACATTCTGGAAAACGAAAAACTATAGAGACAGAGAATGAATCAGTAGTTGCTGGGACTTAGGGATGGGAGACGGCTTCTATGGAAGGACAACATGAGTTGATGTTGGAGCTGATGGAATGAATCTATGTATGTTCAAACTTATAGAACTGTACACTAAAAAAGTAAATTTTACTGACTGTAAACAAGAGAAAACCATCATTTCTTCTGTATTTACTTGGATTAAAAATTTTTTTTAAATGTGTGTGTGTATCTATATGTATATTCTGGTATGTGCAGTGAGGTGTGGAACCAATCTGTTTTTCTAATTACATAGCCAACTTTTGTGAACACCATTTATTCATGTAGTGGGATCATATTTTGAGATCCTGACCTATATACGTATTTTTCTACCCTTCTTCTTTCCCTCATTTAAGGAGATGGTTAACTTTGTGCTCAACCTCAGGGGAGGGATATAGTCAAGTAGGGAAGAGAAATAATCAGTGTCGTTCTGCTTCCAAAATCAAGCCTAAGACTGAGAGCAGATTTGGACCAAAGGCAAATCTGAATGTGGCGGATACAATTTGATCCATTCTATGTGAGAGAGGTCGCCAGACAACATTTATTCTGAAACAAGATTAGTCTCCAGCAGATTATTCCTTCCCATTTAGAGAACATATTGCCAATAACTTCAGTAGATGGAGGGTTGGACACTGTTCTAGTCTGGCTTACCAACATGTGAAGATTCACTTTGAAGCTTTGTGAAATACTCCTTTACAAAGATTACTAACACTGGCTGTTTAAATTCCTCTGACCATCAACATGGAAGAGGTCCAGAAGAACGGAGGAAAAACTTAAATTATTTTGCTGAAGTATCAAGAGGAGCATAAAGATGACTTCATACCAATATACCTCAGGGGTCAATGTGTAGTACCCAATTTCAAGTTCCTTTCTTATCTCTAAGCTTCAGGATAGTCCTGCAAACACAGCAGACCTGTCTCAGCTGTCACAGTGAGGAGCTGAAGGTCAGGTCCCATAATTCAGAAAAGATTCATCAGAGGCGAGCCTTGACTGATGTGGTGGTCCCTACAGGGCAGATGATTATAGGTGAGGGCACAGCATTGGCTGAACGATCAGTAGCCAAGGGGTGACTGATGAAGCATGTAAACATTCCCCAGAGAATTCCCAGAAATACACGGGGGAGAGAATTTGATAAAAGACTGTCCTCCCTAAAGATAAATGAGCTGGTGTCTAAGTGAATTGTGACCTCATAGACTGATGAAATTTGGTATACTTAAGCTACGTATGTTGCTTCTGGGTAACATGCTCTATGTGATTAATCTTAGGCAAGTAACACGATGTTTAAACTATCAAAGTTTTATGATGTGTTTTATATCTAGGAGTACTAGTTCTCTATATTTTCCCTCTACCTCTTTTTTTTTTATCACTAACTTATTTTTCCACAAAAATTTTCTCTTGAAAAAACTTTCATTAGGAAAGAAAAGAAGGAAAGGGAAGGGAAGGAATGTCACAATTATTGTAAATGCTTAAAGAGCTTAAACCTATGTAAATTTTGAAAAATCTAATGATTAACGAGCTTATCATTTCAACATGAAGACATGGTTGCCTGTTCAGTTGCAGAAAACATAAAGCAAAAGGGAGGTTAAGATTTGGTCAGTACATGAGACGCTTGTGTTGAGCACTGGACCAAACATTAGACTCTCCTTGAGATTTGACTTCCCCTTGAACTCCATAGGAGCCTATCTTTTGTACTTTTTTATCTCCTTGGTTTCACTTTCTTCCCTGAGGTCGAGGGAACTAGATTTTCTTTCTTTCTTTCTTTCTTTTTGGAGTTGGAGTCTCACTCTGTTGCCCAGGTTGGAGTGCAGTGGCATGCTCACAGCCACCACAACCTTGACCTGCTGGGCTCAGGAGATCCTTCCGCCTCAGCCTTCCAAGTAGTTGGAACTACAGGAATGCACCACCATGCCTGGTGTAATATTTTGATTTGTTGTAGAGATGAGGTCTCACCAAGTTGCCCAGGCAGGTCTCGAACCTGTGAGTTCAGGCAATCCACTCACCTCAGCTTCCCAAAGTGATGGGATTATAGGCGTGAGACATCACGCCTGGCTGGAACTAGATTTTCTTTGCTAAGTATGTGTTACTACAAAATGGGAAATAATTCTATTCAAAGCTGGTTCTGGAAGTATTTTGAACTAGGTGAACTTTCCTTTAGCCTTCCCTCCTGAAATGTGTTCCTTTTTTTCTCTTTATGGATCATTCATCCTTTTTCTTGTATTACTTAAATCCTCCAACTTTTCTTTCTCCCTTCCTCTCTTTCTCTCTTTTGTTCGATACAGGGTCTCACTCTATCACCCAGGCTGGAGTGAAGTAGTGCATCATAGCTCTCTGCAGTCTCTAACTCCTGTGCTCAAGTGATCCTTCTGTCTGAGCCTTCCAAGTAGCTAGGACTATAGCCACCATGCCCAGCTAATTTTAAAACATCTTTTGCGGAGATGAGATTTTGCTATGTTGCCCAGGTTAGTCTCGAACTCCTGGCCTCAAGCAATCCTCCCACCTTAGCCTTCCAGGTCACTGGGATTATAGACATGAGCCACTGTACCCAGATATACTTTAATTTTTATTAAAGTCACCATGTTAACTACCTCCGACTTGTAAGGCCTATGTAGAATCCAAAAATGTTTTCCTGTGTTAAAAAAAAGTCAGGGCAGGGGCATACCGCATCAACAAGGCTACCTGCATAATGAACAGCAGTATTCCTAACCCTGAATTGTACCTCACGTCTTTAAAAGAAAAAAAAAATTAAAAGAAAAAAAAATCAGGTATCAGTGAGTAGGAGCTGCTGTCTTACAGCATTTAAAATAAAAATAAGCAGGGGGCTAATTTTGTACTTTAATACAGTAGGGTAAGAAAACCAAACACAGTGCCCAAGCTTATTTCCAGTAGGTTGTTTTATTCTTTCCTTACATTTTCATTGACTCGGTGTCTAACCAAAACAAAGTTTAGTTAAGCAGGGCATTGTAGGTGGAAAGCTTTAAGTTTAGAAGACAGGCATATAGATCATCATTTAATAGCTAACTAGCTCTGAGATAAGTCTGTTTACCTTTTTGGAACCAGCTTCTCTTTATCAGCCAATAATATATCTTTAATGATTGAAAAAAAAAACCTGATAAAGTCCCTTCTATTTCTAAAAAACCAATAGTTCTGAACATAAAGCCTCTGTTATGCTCTTCTCTGGATAACAGGAACTTGTAGACTTTATGACACAACCCAGGATAAAGGAAAAAACAAACCTACCTTTAAGAATAAAAAGGGCATATAGCAGGAAACAAATACAAAAAGCATTCTGAAAATACTGAGAACATTTAGTAAAAAGTGGAAAATCTGACAATACTGTACAGTCACAGCGCTCCTCTTCATAACAATGAATTTTCCTCCTCTCACTAAAATAGAGCAATTTTTATTGCCACAAGCACATGTGTTATTACTGGCAATAAGAATATAGTCATATTACGGGCAATAAGGATTTAATTGCACAGGATACCTCCTTCAACATCTTTATTTTAAGATGAACACTGGGGAAAACGATAATTCCCAGCATTTTCAGGGTTGCTATGGATACCTGTCATCCACATCCAGAGCCTGCAGGTTACATTCAGGGACTCTTGCCAGTTCGTTAATGATGTCGCTGAAACCCGCTGCTGCTGCAATATGTACACATGTTTTCCCGCTCTCATCATCATAGTTGATTATGGACGACCCTTGGTGATGGCTCAGAATGATGGAACATAGAATTCTATTTCCGCTCTGAAAAAAAGAACCAAAGAAAGCCCATTGCATACAAACAAGTGTGCTTTCCAGTGTATGCGTGTTAAGGAAGGAAAAAAAAAAAAAAGCAAGCCCAAAACTGAAAAACAAAAGAAAGCAAGAAAAGAAAAAGCAAACATATTCTGTATAAACCCTCAACAAGTTTCCACTTGTCTCAAGTCACCAAAGAGATTTCTGTACCACTTCAGAGTTAAATTGTCTTCTATAACTAGTGAATTATTTGAATTAAATACAGGTATCACTGACTGATATCAGAGCTAGCATGATGTATAGGAGGCCACTTAGACAACGACTTGCTCATTAGGTCTGTTCATTTTGCTTCCTCATTTGCTGTCGAGGTTAACCCCTAAGATACGGACGTAATCAATTTCAGTGTTAAAGAAATGACTATGAGTACTGATTGGCAGTATAATAATGCAGGAACAAAGCTTATTACATCCTTCCATGGTGTCTCTCTTGACCTATCATGATGATTTTTATTTGCTGTTTAGTGTCATGTTCCCTTGCACTAGGGATTTTCACCATGAATGTGGACCCTTGCAGAGATTGGGGTTTCGCTATGTGCCCAAGTTGATCTTGAATTCCTGACCTCAAACAATCCTCCTGCTTCAGCCTCCCAAGTCACTGGGATTACAGGTGTGAACCACTGCGCACAGCTATATTTTAATTTTAAAGTCACGTCAACTACCTCCAACTTCTGAGACTATGTAGTACCCCAAAATGTTTTCCCTGTGTTAAAAACAGGTGCTTGGGACTGGCCTTGCAACTCTGCGTATACTTGATCCTGACCCTCCCAGAGTTGGTGTCCAGGCCCTTGTCAGGGTCAGAGGACAATAGCAGTTGTTGGGTGGGGCTGAGAAATAGGGGTTTGAGAACCTGTCCCAGGGAAGCAGAACTGTGTGAGTAGAACCTCTACTGTCCTGTCAGACTTCAATTACAGAACAAATTAAAAGATAAGTAAGAATTTCCAGATGGCAACCACAGAGCATTAGACCCTAAAAACAGGGTTCCCTTAGGAGCACTCGACCCTCTCATGGCTGCACTGGTCACACACCCATACAGAGGTCTCTGCCTACAAACTTTTTCCTTCCATTTCTCTCATCTTCTCTCTTTTTTTTTGAGTTGGAGTCTCACTCTGTTGCCCAGACTGGAGTGCAGTGGCCACTCCCGGCCTCCGCAGCCTCGACCTGCTGGGCTCCGGCGATCCTTCCGCCTCAGCCTTCCGAGTAGCCGGAATTACAGGCGCGTGCTACCACGCCCGGCTGATTTTTTGATTTATTGTAGAGATGAGGTCTCGCCAAGATGCCCAGGCGGGTCTCGAACCCGCAGGCTCAGGCAATCCACTCACCTCAGCCTCCCAAAGGCACGGGATTACAGGCTGAGCCACCGAGCCTGGCTCATCTTCTCTCTTATATCCTCTTCTCCCTCCATCCTTCCTTTATCTCACAATGACTTTTACGTTACTTCAGCCAATTGTTTAAGTTGTGTAGCATGCCTCTCATCAGAAGTTGGCTACACTAAACACACCGAAGCTTTTATGCCCAGTTTATCAGTTTTTCTGAGATTCTTTCACTTGATGCTAGTTAAACATATTTTGAAGGGGTCTAAAATATATTGCAAATGGTTATGAACCACTTTTCTTTAAGGCACTATCTATTCAAGAAGGAAAACAAGCAAAAATAGCGTCAGCTCAACAACTTTTTTTTGTTGTTGTTGTTTACAGTTTCCTGGAAGAGCAAAGGAATTCAAGTTGCCAGGGTGATGCAAGGGACAAAACACCCTGTTCAGTTTCCCCTCCTGGTGGAAGAGAGAGCATTAAGCACAGATAGAAAAAAAAACAAATCTCAAATTCTCACTTCCCCCTGTCTCCCCTTCCCCTTGGGAAGAGTCATTTTGGAAATGGTGAACTGAACTAGAGGCTACTACCTAGAAATCCCAAGTCTGCCTCTTCAGGGACCCTGACCAATCGGGCCTAGACTGCAGGTCTCTTGGGAACTGAGATACTTAGACAGCTTCTCTACATAAGTGAAGGCAGACTCCCTTCCCTTTACCCTTTTCCTCCAAAATGTCTTTTGTCCTGAATTTTTTTTTTTTTTTTTGAGTTGGAGTCTCGCTCTGTCGCCCAGTCTGGAGGGCAGTGGCCGCTCCTGGCCACCGCAACCTCGACCTGCTGGGCTCCGGCGATCCTTCCTCCTCAGCCTTCCGAGTAGCCGGAATTACAGGCATGCGCTACCACGCCCGGCTCATTTTTTGATTTATTGTAGAGATGAGGTCTCGCTGCCCCAGGCGGGTCTCGAACCCGCAGGCTCAGGCAATCCACTCACCTCAGCCTCCCAAAGGCGCGAGATGACAGGCTGAGCCACCGAGCCCGGCTTGTCCTGAATTTTACAGACAATTCTTTTTCTTCTATACCTGAATCTCACTTATAGCATCATCATTTGTATTTTTCTATTCTTCATTTTTTTCCTTCTCCTTCTTTTTTCAGAGACAAGGGTTTTGTTATGCTGCCCAGGCTGGTTGAGATCTCCTGGCCTCAAGGGATCCTCCTGCCTTGACCTCCCAAAGTGCTGGGATTACAGGCATGAGCCACTGTGCTTCATACTATTCTCTCTTTTTTTTCTTTTTTTGAGTTGGAGTCTCAGGCTGGAGTGCAGCCTGGACTGGAGCGCAGTGGCACGCTCACGGCCACCGCAGCCTCGACCTGCTGGGCTCCAGCGATCCTTCTGCCTCAGTCTTCCAAGTAGGTGAAATTACAGGTGCACGCTACCACACCCGGTTGATTTTTATTTTATTTTATTTTATTTTATGTTTGAGTTGGGGTCTCACTCTGTCACCCAGACTAGAGTGCAGTGGCCGTTTTTGGCCACCGCAGCCTCGACCTGCTGGGCTCCGGCGATCCTTCCGCCTCAGCCTTCCAAGTAGCTGGAACTACAGGTGCACGCTACCACACCCGGTTAATTTTTTTGATTTATTGTAGAGATGAGGTCTCGCCAGTTGCCCAGGCAGGTCTCGAACCCGCGGGCTCAGGCAATCCACTCACCTCAGCCTCCCAAAGGCGTGGGATTACAGGCTGAGCCACCGAGCCTGGCTTATTTTGATTTATTGTAGAGACAAGGTCTCACCAAGTTGCCCAGGCTGGTCTCAAATCCCCGGGCTCAGGCAATTCTACCTCCCAAAGTGCTGGGATTACAGGCTGAACCACTGTACCCAGCTGGTCCTATTCTTTATAAGACGCTTCTCCCAGGAATAATGATGATAACTGTATTTACTGAGTGAACGTTCTGTGCTCGTCACATATACTAATTTATTTACTTCTGATAACAGTTTCACAAGGTAGGTACTATTATTATCATCCCCATATTGTAGAGGAGAAAATGAAGGCATAGAAGGATTAAGCAACTTGTCCAAGGTTGCAGCTAAGAATTAGCAGAGCCGCCGGGTGCGGTGGCGTGTGCCTGTAGTCCCAGCTACTGGGGAGGCTGAGGTTGGAGGATCGCTTGAGTACAGGAGTTCTGGGCTGCTGTGCACTATGCCGATTGGGTGTCCACACTAAGTTCGGCATCAATATGGTGAACTTCTGGGAGCAGGGGACCACCAGGTTGCCTAAGGAGGGGTGAACCGGCCTAGGTCGAAAATGGAGCAGGTCAAAACTCCCGTGCTGATCAGTAGTGGGATCGTGCCTGTGAATAGCCACTGTACTCCAGCCTGGGCAACATAGCCAGACCCTGTCTCTTAGCCGGGCTTGGTGGCTCAGCCTGTAATCCTGTGCCTTTGGGAGGCTGAGATAAGTGGATTGCCTGAGCCTGCGGGTTCGAGACCCGCCTGGGCAGCGAGACCTCATCTCTACCATAAATCAAAAAATCAGCCGGGCGTGGTAGCACATGCCTGTAATTCCGGCTACTTGGCAGGCTGAGGCAGAAGGATCACCGGAGCCCAGCAGGTCGAGGCTGTGGTGGCCGGGAGCGGCCACTGCATTCCAGTCTGGGTGACAGAGTGAGACTCCGACTCAAAAAAAAAAAGAATTAGCAGAGCCAGGATTGACTGTCTATAGAGGCCTTATGCTACACTGCTATACCACTCTGATAAAAGGAGCGGTCTATTAATTTGATCCTGCATGATACTGAAGGCACTAAAGCAAGAACTAATATTTAGATCTACAACAATTAGTAGCAGTGATGTGCGCCTTGTCAACTGAGACTTTCTTTAGAGTTAAACTTTGGATACTTTAAAAGCCTCTCCTAGGAAGGTTGCCGTGTTGCCTCCTCACGAGAATTTGAAGAAGCCCTAGAGAACACTGGTCTGTAAGCCAAGTCCTAGGATCAGTGGTCTACAGGCTATAGCATTCCCTTCTTAGCAGTCTGGACTGGGTGTCAGACAAAAATAGGCAGAACTGGGAGGCTGAGGAGGGTCACAGAGACCAGGAGACACCAGGGGAGAATGGGGATGTTGCCAGATGGGTCCTTAGGAAAAAATAAAGAGTGGGTTAACATTTGGTGGAAATGTTATTAAACAGGACAAGTAACGATGCTGGACATATTCTATTTTTGTAGAACCTTAGAATTCTACGTTGGGTTTCCAGATGAGTATTGTGAATCTTTAAAATTTGTTTTTTTTCTATTTATTAGTTTTGTTTTTGCCTTTGAATAATTCATAACTCTGCCTTCATGTACTCTGAAAAGTATTGGGAGCTGTCTGAGTCCTAGTAGTTTTTCTTTACTTTCATAAGGGAGGAGAGTCGAAAAATTCTCACTTATAAGAAGCCTTGCCAAGTTGAATTAATAAGTAGTATTTTACTAAAGGCAGATTGATTTAAAACAAACAAATAAATCAAGATTCCAATCTCCTGATTGTAGACGCTTTTTGTTCTAGGTGACCTTCTGGAGGAATCTAGTGGGAGATTTAGGACTAGTTGGTGATTTATTAGCATATGTCTGGGGATTTAGTTCCATGGAGGCTTCTTGGAGGGAGCTCCAGCCTCT